GCAGGATGATATGGATGCCCGAATCCGTGAACACTGGCCCACTCATCTCCCCTGTCCGCAGAGCAAACGATGCATCCTCAAACAGTTTTTGCATCTGACCTCTGCTGAAGGCACCCAGGTCTCCCCTGGCTTTGGCAGAGCTTCAATCACTGAACTGTGAGGCCAGAGATTCAAAGTCTTCTTCTCCTGACTTAATCTTCTGGATATAGCCATTGATCAGCTCCAGTGCCTCTTCCTTGCTCCTAGTGATCTTTTCCTGCCGCTAGGATGAGGGCCTCCGAGACTGGTTGTGCTTCACCAGTAGATGCAAGCAGCGCACCCTGGAAGGCTCGCCCTGGCCATTCTTGCTTCTACCTCCAACACTGCTGCTGCCACTGGGCCGTTCCCACTGGCTGGCGTTGGTGATGTGGTTGAAGTAGTATACCCGGCCTGAGCTGCAACTCATGCACTTCTCCCAGCCCGGCGGCGGCAGCTTCTCCTCGTCCGCCAACTTCCCTCCTCAAATTGTGTGTGTTTTTTTTTTTTTTTTTTTTTTTTTTTTTGTTTTGTATTTCATAGCAAACTCAATTCAGGACCTGGAGGATGGGGGGGGGGGCAGAAGTAAACAATGAGATGTCACCTACTATGCCAAGTCTTCCGAGGATCCCAAAGAAATTCTAGAACCAAGCTTAGTTGGGGAGTGGGGAAGATGGAGCGATGGAGAGAGGCTGCTTCATCAGCTTCAAATTGCTGCCATGATTCTGTGCCTGGCACTCTTAAAACGCACCTAAAAACCGATCAGTTCTCTTGGAGTCAGCCAAAATTCTAAGAGTAGGTAACTCAGGCATGAGTGCTTTGGGGGAGTCAAGGGCAATCGTCAGAGAGGATGATGCTCGATAGGGCTGGAAGATGGGGCGGAGTGGCTCATAGTTCACTCTGGGGTATAGGGGAAGGAGGCTGAAGTATTAGGGATGCTGTGTTTTCAGTATTAGGGTAAAAGTTACTTGTAAATACATAGAAAACTTAGCAGTTGACAGGAAGAAAGGAGAATAACATCCAAGGGAATAACATTTCCGGAGGCTATAACTCCCTTATTTAATTCATATCACTGGAATAGGAAACAATTGGCAGCTGCTTAGTTTCCTGAATCCGTGTGGAGTTAACACACTGCATATGGGTCTAATTTCATTATAACTAGGAAAGCCGGACTCCACCTAAAGATCCCCATAACTGATAAACCCAGTAACACAGCAAGACACAATCAACAAACAAAACCAATAGCTTCTCCTAAGCTAGGTAACAAAGAGGACCCTAAGAGAAACATGCATGAGCCCCCCTGGGAAGGGGAAAGAGACAAGATCCTTTGAGTAAATTGGGAGTGTGTGTGTGGGGGGGTGGAGGATGGAAGATGAGGGGGATAGAGAGAATGGGAGTGATGATGGTCAAGTTGGGGAAAGGACAGAGAGGGAGAGCAAGGAAAGAAATATCTTGCACTCCGGCAATTCCCAGGAATCCACATGGATGACCCCAGCTAAGACTCTAAGCAATAGTGGAGAGGGCACCTGAACTGGCCTTCCCCTCTAATCAGATTGATGACTACTTTATTGTCACTAGTAACTGATGGAAGCAGACACAGAGATCCACAGCCAAGCACTGGGCTGAGCTCCTGGAGTCCAGTCGAAGAGAGAGAGGAGCAATAACATGAGCAAAGGGGTCAAGACCATGATGGCAAGCCCCACAGAGACAGCTGACCTGAACTAGTGGGAGCTCTGGACTCTGGACTGACAGCTGGGGAACCTGCATGGGACAGAGCTAGGCCCCTGAATGTGGGTGACAGTTGTGTGGTCTGGGCAGTTTGTGGGGCCACTGGCAATGGGACCAGGATTTATCCCTAGCAAATGAACTGGCTTTTTGGAGCCCATTCCTTATGGAAGGTTACCTTGCTCAGCCTAGGGGGACGGGGGGGACGGGGGGGGGGGGCTTGGTCATGCCTTGAGGTGGTGATGATGTGATAGACTTTGTAGACTCCCCATTGGAGGCCTCACCCTCTCTGAAGAGAAAATGGGGGGGGGGAAGGTGGGGAGAGCAGGGAGGGGGAACTTGGATTAGTATGTAAACTAAAAAGATTGTTTTTTAAAAAACGAAAATTAAAAAAGGAAGAAGAAGAAAAGAAGAAGAAAGCAATAGCTTCTCCTGCACACCAGCAACAAGCTTTTCTAAGAAGAAATTGTGAAAGGAACTCAACCCTTAATTGTCACAATTCACAGCAAACTTAAAAAAAATACTGATGAAAAAAGGCTTGCTGGTGTCCTGTAACCCTGGCTCAGTGTGACTACAACCCCAAGTTCAAAGCTAGCCAGGGCTACAGAGCAAGTCCTAGGCTAGCCTAGCTGAGACCCTGTCTCAGGATTATACTACAGTTTTATGCTGGGTTATAGTTTGGTGAGGTCCCAGATTTAATCCCTAGTCTTCAAATAAGTAAATAAATAAAGTCAACAGAAAAAGAAACTGAAAAAGATTCAGAAACTAAAATACTTTCCATATTTGTTGTTTAGAAGAATTAATATTGTCAAAATTGTTGTTCTACTAAAGACAGTTTAATGGTTCAATGTCCTCTCCATGGAAATAGCAACGACATTGTTCACAGAACTATATATAAAGAAAGAAATCTGTCCTAAAGTGAAACGAGCAGAATGGGGTGTGATACTGAGCGGCTCAAGGTACAGGAGCTGATGGGGAAAGGGATGCTGAAATGGAAGCTGGGGGTTGGCAGAACTCAGGCCGCACAAACCTAGAATGCACTGAAGCCCCAGAATGGATCTGGGTCCAGTGTAGACACGCCCGCTCTTATGCTTGGGGACTGTGAGATAATTAGAGTGGGAGAGTGAAAACAGACAACAAGCAGATCCACACTGGATGGTAATTATATTCACATACATTCAATAATCTTTATCCGATTCCTCTTTGCCTCCGAGGCCCTGTTTGGCTCTTGGGGAATGCATGACGATATGACTTTTCCCACCCTCCATTTACTGAACATGCATTCTTGAGTGTGGGCCCAAACTTTGTGGCCTGATGGTAGGGAGTATGATGGACCCATGTCATGCACTGGGCAAGCTGTGGAAGGCTTGGACATGGGCAGCAGACACAGATGACACCCTCAGTAGTTGTTCCTTTGTGTCCCGTGGACTCCGGTGGGACTGACATCAGTGGGACTTCCCAGAGGCCTCTGACCACTTGAAGTTAAAAGGTCCACCCTGCCCAATGCTCTCCCAGCCTTAGGGTATATATACTTCTTGTAACATATTCCATTCTGTTTCCTGAAGGAACTGTGACTGGTGGCTCATCACAGTTGATTGTCACCAAGGAAGCGTCATTCAGGTGGCTTCAGAAATCCCCCAGACACATGAGATGCTAGAGTTTGGGAGAACAGGAAACCACAAATGGTGTTCAGATAGAAACTTCCTCCCATCACAGAGGAAGGGAACTGAAAGTCATTTTCTGAGATCTAGTTTAATAATTTCCTAAGCAGAACCAATCAGAGGACCGGAACTAGGCAGCATCACAAGTTGCTGAGCAGCATCGTGTATTTGGAAGTACTTTAAACTTAGCACTCACTTGCCAAGAACATGGCATTACAGAAGCTTGCAAAAGATAGATGCAAAAAATGTGTTTGGATTTGGCTCCAAAAAAGGTTGTCAAGCTACATCATAGAATTGTAACATCAACCTCTCAGCCTGGAATGATCCCATGGGACGCTCCTGCCTCCGGGAAATGGACAACTAACACTCTGTGGACAGAACTGCACTGCTGGTCTCCTCTTAGTGACCTGGGGGGGGGGGTTAATACCAGATGTCGAAAGCTGCTGGCATGATCAGACCATCAGCAGTGGAAGGATGGCTGCCCTCCTGGTCTGTTGGGTTCTCTGTATGGCCAGAGAGGGCCTCACACAGCAGTGTGGAAGATCCGTCCTGAGTAGTCTCCATCCTACTGACACTAATTCAGCAGCAGATGTGCAACCTCTCTTCCTGGTGGCTCATCAATGGATTTTAGTCTTTTCTGTGTTCAACTAAACATTTTTCTGTGTATTGCACGGCATTTTCAGAAACAAGAGATGTAAAAGTCTCTTCACCTTCAGGAGCCTCTCTGGAGAATCTCAGGGCACACTTTTGTCTCAGAAATTCATTCTTTGTAGAGGAGAACATCTGTAGCCCATTACTACAGGGTGGTAAAGTCCTCCTGTGAGCATCGCTTTACTGTTTCCAGTGGAATAAGCTGTGCCCAAGCTATTCTTTAATAGTGAACTCACTGAACACCCAGAGGAGGCTTCACCCTCAGGTCCCATTCTGGCTAGAGATCCAGGCCATGACAGAAACTGGAGGAGGCACCCACACATCCCCCTGCTTCTAGTAATCGCTGCTTGTTTTCCAGATATACCATTCCAAGCCTTTGGAGTCTTGGGATTCAGTTTATTTTCTGATGTTCTCAGAATACAGTGGATGGCAATGGTCTGGAATCCCATGCTGAGCTGACCATGTTGGAGTTCAGCATACTGGGAATGGAAATGTAGCCAGAAATAGGGGGATCCTTGAGTGACATTCCATCACCAGAATCCAGGCTTTCTCCATGGCCTAGTTGTTCAGTTTCTCCTTAGATGATTCAGTGTTCCTTAAAACCAATCTTTCAATCTACTTGAGACACATTCTACATTTTCATGTTAGTGACTTTTAAATTTATTCTAACCTCACAAATGTGTTTCACAAACACTTGAATTTTTTGTTTACTTTGTCTAAAGACTCTGTTTTTTTTTTTTTTTTAATAAATAGAAAAACTCCTTGATGAGGATCATTTCTTGAAAGGGTAAGTAGAAAATGTGATATTAAATAGTGAGTTGCCTAGGACCTATTTGCTCAAATCCTTTCCCTAGCAACAGATGTGTCAGCCTGAAAGATTTTTCTGATTGGCTAAAACTGAAGAGACTGCATTTTAATCTCTTTCCCTTCTTGTTATTTCTGCCTCAGTCTGTGATCTCTTCTGACCCCACCAAACACCAAGAAGAAAATGGCCTTAGCTGGTGCCCTGGTATTAAGACTTTTCTTCATGGCTGTCCTGATGAGTCCCCAGAAGTCATGGGCTATCAAAGGTGAGTACCAAGAAAAGTGGAACCAGGAACAGTAGACTAGGCGGCTTTGGAGAAAGGCACGGTGGGCTTTTTTGTGAGACAGCCTTGGGACCGAAAGATAAGAATGACAAGCACCCTGCAAGTCTGCATCTGAAGATTGTAATGCAGTTACACTTTGGGGGAAATTCTTCCTTCCAACATGAAGTAGGCCAGACTTAGTTGAGCAAGATAAGCCAGGACATGTGTTGCTAGGACCGCCATCTCACCAGAGGCTAGGCTTTGGGGGCTATGTGGAAGTAGTTTTTTTAAAAGGCACCGATGAGGCATATACCTGGATTTTAATGTTTTAGAGACAGTTAACAATTGGAAGCACCACACAATGCTGAGAAGATTGAGTGAGGAGCCCTTAGTGCTGATCTTGGCTGAGCATACAGCACTTTCATTTTTGCTGTCAATCCTGTCCTATTTCAGTCACAGACACTGTATTTAAGATCATTAGAAACAAAGGTCATCAACCCCACCACCACCCCCAAATCCACCCAAGAAGATGGGGGCAGGTACACTGACAGGAAGTGTGTTTAATTAATGACTCTTGGGGCAGGGGTAGCAATCGATGCCCATCCCTTTGTGTGACCCAGCAGACATTACAAGGTCAGTGGTCACCACTACTGAGTTCGGTTTACTGGAGATACGAAACATGAGTAAGTGGAGACTACCTATTAGACTCTGTCATCATCTCCAAAGCAAACATTTTGTGCTGATGCAAACATCTGTTGTGAGAAGGGCTCTGCATCCAGAGGGACCCTGTGGATAGCTATAGGTGGAAAGAAAATAAGTAAAGTAGAAATTCAGCTTCAGCCACAAAAAAAGCAAGTTTGGGCTTCTATTGCCCAAGCAGATGCTCTTCCGTGTGTGTGCGTGGCTGGAGGGGAGGGGCATGTAGAATATATGTTTGTGCATAGAGGTAACTGTAAAATAAATCCTTTGGTCAAACATTAAAATCAGTCACCTTATTCTTAAAGAGAACAGGGAAGCAATGGCCTCCTCATCTCCTTTACTGTTGGTTATTCTCCTTGCCAATCACAACAGACCATGTCCCACAAAAGCTCAGTCATAATCTAAGTAGTGTTTAGACAAAGGTCAAGTTTCAAGGTCAATTCAGGTATGCCCCTTCTCATAGAGGAAGCCTTGAAGTGAGTATAAGTGGTTCATAATGTTGCAAGGTCTCCATCTCAACCTCCTGGGCACCCCTGCTCCACGGATGTCTCTAAGGGTCTAGTCCTTGATGCTTACAGCAGTTTCTGTCCACAGAATGTCAGCAGTCTCTGCTAGAGGCCTGATGAGGTGCTGAGAAACCTATCCTGGTAGAAGGGATCTCACATAATTAAGTAGACAGTGATCTGCTCCCATCACAGGGTTCAGATGTCAGAACTGTATTTGGTTCCAGAGTTCCTAATCCTGCTGCTGGTGAGCTGACCTAAGTGATTTACACCCTCACAACAGGGAGTAAGAACCTTTCTTTCCCATACAATGCCGATAGATTTCTAAAGTCATGAAGTCATCAAACACCCATTCAAAACTATGTTTTTTTGAGTCAACCTGCCTCTCCCTCAAAGCTCAGGGAACAATGTTAAAGAGGGTGCAGAAAGACTCTAAGCCAGAGGATGGGGAGGGCTACTGAGAGATCCTGTCTTTGAGACATGACATGGCTGTTGCACACATGAATGAACTTGCTGTGTTTATCTGCACAAGCCAGTTGAAAGAATCTAGCCCTGACGGGGGAGGGGCTCTGGAGACCCTGCCCCTAGCTGAGGACCTCTTGACAGCCGATAGCTGCTGAGGGAGAGTTAGTTTTCTTTTGGTGTGTGTGTGTGTGTGTGTGTGTGTGTGTGTGTGTGTGTGTGTATGTGTGTGTGTGTGAAGGGGTGGCCACTGGTAGGTGGCTCATGCTTCAGTGGGCGACCTCATCCACATGCATGCAAGGACAACTCTAATTGACTTGGTGGGTTAACAGAGAAGGCTACGTTGAAGGCTGTCTTGCATTCATCATCCGTTCACCCTCCCTAACCCAGCTCCCTTCTTTCTTGCCTCCGTGCTTTGCTCATCATGGATGTCTAGCACTCAGACTGTCTCTTAGCTCCCAGCCTACCCTCTGCTATTCTTCTTGTGCTGGTCCCCACCCATCCCATCTCCCCCTTCCACTCCCCTCCCTCAGTCCCCTCCCCTCTCTTTTCAGAGGAACACACGATCATCCAGGCGGAGTTCTTTCTGTCCCCAGACGAAAAAGGAGAGTTCATGTTTGACTTTGATGGTGATGAGATTTTCCACGTGGACATTAGGAAATCAGAGACCATCTGGAGACTTAAAGAATTTGGACAGTTTGCCAGCTTTGAAGCTCAGGGTGCATTGGCCAATATAGCTGTGGACAAAGCTAACCTGGACATCATGATAAAGCGCTCCAACCACACTCCAGATGTCAACGGTATTCACCTCTCCTCTGTATCACTTCCTCCCAGATGTGGGAACTCGTAGCTTTAAAATAGATTCTCAGGCCACAGGCTCAGGGATTTTAGAATCATAGGAATCATAGGGCCTTTTTTTTTTTTTTTTTTTTTGCTGTTCTCGTCTTGCTATCTTTATCCACTATCACTCATTGCTGAGTCTACACAGGGGAAGTTATGGATGGGAGTCTGGGTGGATGTGGGTGGGTTGGCGGGTGGGCATCACCTACCACAATGCTGCCTCCAGATGTCAGAGCTGGTTATTGGATGACATGGCTCCTCAGGGTATAGCTTTTACAGTCCTGGGGTAGAATTGTACCACAAGGCAGCGAGGGAGGGAGAGGGGCACACTTAGGAGATGAAGGTTGACTTACGTCATGTCCTCCACAGTATCTCCAGAGGTGACTGTGCTCCCCAACAGTCCAGTGAGCCTGGGAGAGCCCAACATCCTCATCTGTTTCATCGACAAGTTCTCCCCGCCCGTGGTCAATGTCACCTGGCTTCAAAATGGACAGCCTGTCACCACAGGCGTGTCAGAAACAGTCTTCCTACCCAGGGAAGACCATCTCTTCCGCAAATTCTACTATCTGACCTTCCTGCCAACCACCGAAGATGTCTACGACTGTGTGGTGGATCACTGGGGTTTGGAGGAGCCTCTGCTTAAGCACTGGGGTACAGCATATCTGTCATTCACTTTAAGACGTCCTGCTGTGATGCTGGGTTCTGGGCCCTTAGCATTCACAGTGTAGGGGTGGGAACATAGCTCAGTGGTAGAGCACTTACCACATTCCCAGCACCACAAACTAAGAGTTCACTGTGTTTGCTAACATGGTTGCGATTCACACACCTCCCTCATTAAGATGTCTGTGTACCATGTAAGTGCCTGGTGCCCATGGAGGTCAGAAAAGAGTGTCAGGGCCTCTCCCACAGGAGCTATGGACAGTTGTGAGCTGCTGTATGGAAGCTGGGCATTAAAACCAGGTCCACTGTAGAAGCAACCAGTACTCTTAAATGCAGAGCCACCTCTCTAGCCCCAGAACTCATTTCTTTATTACATTGGTCACCAGTGCTATCCCCTAACACAGTAATTGACAACTCTGCTTTATTTTTCCCCCCAGAGTTTGAAGAGCATACCCCCCTCCCAGAAACTAAAGAGAACGTGGTGTGTGCTCTTGGGCTGTTTGTGGGTATAGTAGGCATCATTGTGGGGGTTGTCCTCATCATCAAGGGCATGCAAAGGCGCAATGCCGCAGAACGCCGCCAAGGAGCCCTGTGAGATGCCTGGAGGTAGGTTACATGTGGTCAGAGACTGACAGATGTGAGGGTATGGGAGGGAGGAAAGCAGGGGTGGGGGAAGGGGGTGTGGTGCCTTTAAGAGAGGGGCCAGGGAAAGTGGTGCCTCTTAATTCCTTTTGTTGGAATGAATCAAGTTAGTATATCAAACCTTCAGGAGCCACGACCCTTTCCATGGATGTTCCTTAGTCCACATCTTGAGTATTAGAAATTTTCTTCAGCTCTCAAGACTATTGACTCACATGAGAATGGTGCATCCTGGTGACTTGGGGAGGCACTTCAGAGCTCTCATGTCCAGAGGCAGTAGCCACTGCTCCAAAGTCTGAAGCCTCTTGGATCCCTGGCATGAACTGGAAATCTCTTGAGTCAATCAATGACTGGTATTGATCTTTTAGTCTGAAAGATGCCTCTAAAGAGATCTAGAAAGGGGTGAGGCATGTTGACCTCCGTGAAAAATAGGGTTTGCGGTTCCTGTTGGGAACCCAAATCAATGTTTAAAGACTTTCTGAGAGTCAAATGACCAGGAGGGACAAGAAAAGAAGCTGAGGGACTCTTGGTACTAAACCCTGAACTTGCTGGTAACCATGTGTATCCCCACCACAGGCGACACCTTCAGTAGAAGCTGAATGAGGAAACTTGCTGTGTCAACGGCTGAGGCCCCTTTCTCAGCTTTACCTTAGCAGAGACCGGCATTTCCTGCAATTCCAGCCTTAAGCTTCAACAATGGAGACAGTGTCTACTGTCCAGCTGAGGTCTTTGCCTCCTTCCTGTATCTATTTTCTACTTTCCATCATTTATAGTCACCACCTAATTACTGGGACAAATATTACAGAGTTCTTCCTTTGCCGTGGAATGATCTGAGCATGACATGGCAGTATCTTCTATTCACTGATGGTTTGCTATTTCTCCAAACTGTGCTTTTTGTTTTTTGTTTTTTTTGTTTTTGTTTTGTTTTGTTTTTCTACAAATAATAAATATCTTGGATGGGTTGTGAAGTGTGTTTTTGTTTTGTGTGTGTGTGAGAGAGCAAGTTCTTGGTAGAGAGGAGGGCTCTTGAGGAATATGTGTGTTCTCTCTAAGTCTGAATATTGAGTACCTTTTACAAGCTCTGGGATTAATCTAAATCCCAGGTTCATGAGGGCTTCAAGCATCTGCAGATGCTATGGCATGAAGATGTGGTGTCACCGCTGTGCTGCCAACCCAGGATCAACGTGAGGAGACCTGTGGGGAGCTGGAGGGGGACATGAGGGTGACTGTGACCTTCCCCTCCCACACCCCACTTTATATTCATATGAAATCCTCAGAGAAAGTTTTAAGAGATTCAGCATGCAAATAAGAACAGTACTGATTGGACTCAGTGTATATCTGTGTGTATACAAGTGTGCACACGTGTATATATGAATGTGTGTGTGTATGTATATATGCATGTGTGCATGGTGCATGTATATGTGTGTGAAGAACTCATGAATTCTAGAAGTGGGAGGCAGTGGTTGAGCAATCATGGCAGGATCTGGAGGAGAGAAGGAAGGGCAGAAATGATGTAAATTTACAAATATGGAATACTTATGTATAAACTCCCCAAGTAAGATTTTTTATGACAATATTTTTATTTAAATTTGAAACAAGCTTGTTTTACATGACAATCCCAGTTCCCTCACCCTTCCCTCCTTCCCTCTTCCCCTGCCTCCCATCGCCTTTCTGCTCCCCACGGAAGGTGTGGCCTTCCCCAAATATGATTTTTAAAGGAGAGATTTAGAATTGATATTTGGCTCTTAAGACGCCTGTATCTTTAGGAGAATAAATCTCAAATCTGAGAACCTGGCCTGAGATTACAAGTGAGACAGAGTGGGACGGTTGTGGGTAGAGCTTGGAGCGACTGAGGAGGTCCACACACGTTACCAGGTGGGGCTACCGATCAGGGACCCCGCTGCAGAGTCCTTTGCCTTAGGAGATGGCCAGGAAATGTTGAGGACCTGGGGTTGGATGCTGAGACATGAATCTCAGTAACCTCACGCTTTGGGAGCTGCCCTCTGGCTGATAGTGGAATTTGGGGAATTGGTGGAGCCTTTACTGGGTGAGTCTGGCCTCAGGAGGTGGCCACTAGGGTAGGGCTGCTAAAGGTCTTACCCATCCCTTGTTTCAGTCTCACACAGGCTTTCTCCTCTGGTTGGTTCAAATTCATTTCTGTTTCTGTAACAAACACCCTGGCAGAAGCAGGTGGGAGGTGTTTACTTGTTGACAATTCCAGCTTTCAGCCATTATTGCAACAAACTCAGGGCAGAAACCCACAGTCAAGAGCAGACAAATCAGATGTGTGGAATGTAAGTGCTGAACTGTTGAGAAAATGGTAGAGACTACACACAGTGGCATTGGAGGAATTTGTTTAGGAAGGGCCAGAGTGCTCCAACATTAGGGAATCAGTGATTGCGTCCACATTAACTGAAAGATGGGGAAAGCAATTGATCACCTGGGAGACCCAGACAATGAATTGTGGGAGAAATTAGCATTTGCATTTGGTCTTAAAGATTTTATTTTATTTTAAAGAACTGATTTCTTAGGAAACATGTAATAAAAAGCAATTTATTTAATCTGGGAAAAGACAGCTGTGGGGTAGAGCATTTGGAACCTCCCCACTTGGTAGCTAGGACATTATGGTGTTGGGTAGTAAAAAACTGGCAAAATAAATAAACAAAAAGTATTAGGATTTCAAAGAATACCAAATGTAATTGTTTCATTTTTTATATAACCATATATTTAGGAAGTAAAAAAATAAACAGACAAATGTGTGGTGATATTTTGTTTATGCTGTAACAAATAATGCTTGTCTGAATATCACAGTGTAAAGCTGAGCCACTAGTTAGCCATAGAGGCCAGGCAGTGGTGGCCACACCTTTAATCCTAGCACTCAGGAGACAGGAGACAGAGGCAGATGGATCTCTGAGAGTTCCCTGGGCTACACAAGATTGAATCTGTCTATAAGAAAAGCATAGCTCACACAAAGATGATCCCAGCACTTAGGAATGGCAGGCATTTAATCCCAGAACTAGAGAGGTGGAGACAGGAGGCTATGGCTGGGCAGGGAGAGGGATATAAGGTGGGAAGGGACAGGAGCTCAGGCAGTCTGAGGGTTTTTAGGGACAGGGTTGCCCTTTGGTCTGAGCATTGTTTGAGGTAAGGATTCTAGTGGCTGGCTGCTCTGCTTTTCTGATTCTTCAGATTTCTACATCTGCAGGGGGAAAAAAAAGACCAATTTGAATTCGTACTACACAAATGCATGGCATTAATAATGTAGGATACAAATCTATTGTAAATACACTTCTGCCAGACAGGAATGGTAACAAAGTCAAGACGATGATACTGAAAATGCCAACTATTCAGACAGCACTAACAACACTTTAGGAAGACTTTTGTTTGGGGGAAAAGGAGGCAGTTAAGCACATGGAGGGATAGAGAGGGAGGTGGTAAGACTGCTGGACATATTCAAGGTGTTCTCTCCAGTTCTCTCTAAATCACTATGCAAACAGAAAAGTGCTCGGAAAATCAGAGCTTCACGTGTTTATTTTACTTGCTGGTTGTATCTAGTTCTCATCTCTATTAGCAATCTGGGGACTCATTAAGCTGTCTCAAACTCCACATGTAAGCACTGAGGTTTCGTTAGATAAGGAAATTATTGGGGGGAAAGGTCAAGTTGCTGACAGTGTCAAACACAACCAACAACACTCTCAGAAAATCTACTTTATGCGAATAATACATAATAAAGTATGCATAGAATTTCCCCAAAAGGATGAGACTCCTCTGAGATGCCGTGTAAATTCTGTAGCCGTCACTACACTGAGGTAGACTTCAGAGATGATGGCTCACTTCTTGGATTTGGTTTTGAAACTAACTCTTCATATCTGAGTGGAACCAACACTCAGCATTTTGCTCTGTGCAGGTCCATGGCGGGGCAGACATCCAGCAGACTTCATCTAAACTCATCCACACTGTTTTGTCATTATGACACCTGGGGGGGGCTCTACCTCATCAGCCTTGTGCTGCCTTTTAGGTTACACAATCACACTTGTTTCAATCTCTATGGTTGTTTTGAATGCTTAGGAACTGCCTTTGGTTTTTTAAATTACAAGTTGAAGTCAGCTGGGTGTGGTGGTACATGCCTTTAATTCTAACTATCAGAGACAGGGGCAGGTAGATTTCTGTGAGTACGAGGCCAGCCTAGTCTACAGGTCAGTCAGGGATACATGTGTTATTACAGTGTAGAGAGCATGGTGTTTGATTTATACACACACACACACAAACACACACACACGGACACGGACACATACACAAACACATACATGGACATACAGATACACGGGAACACACATATACATGAATATACATACATACACACACACAAAAACACACACAGACATATACACACACAATGTTTAATTCAGAATTCAGCATATGCATTACCTCACATACTTATAACTAAACAAGAGCCATGTTGTGGTCATGTAATCTTTCCTTCCTATTTCCTATAGCTTGTCTTTAAATTGCATGCTTATTTGAGGAAAAACATGGTAAGGGATCGTGTCACAGGATGGGTTCAGATCAACAGACAAAAGGGCAGGACAAGGGAGGGGAGGAGAATTCTATCCAGTGCTGTCCCAGGCAGGGCTGAGCCAGCCACCAGGGAGCACAGGTCTGCAGACCCAGGGCCAGGAGGCGGTCCTGGGAAAGCACTGTCAGTGGAGGAATGTGAGACAAACAGGACACATTTTTAAACATGGAGACAGGGATGCTCCTTTCTCCAGTCTTGTCACCTCAGCTCAGCTCAGGAGCCCTGCAGAGCACAGGGACACAGGTGTTTCCAGACCTAACTCTGCAGTGGCTTGTCTCACCTCAGGCCACTCTAGCAGCCATAGAGTGTTGTTGAGTTCAGAAGTTGTGTAGAGTTTGAGGTAACCTGGGTGATGTCCATCTTCACAAAGGTTCTCCTGATACCCGGTAACTAACCTTAGTAAAGCCACAACTCTCCCCGGAAATGCTATGGAGACTATTGGCCCCTAGCAGGCTCCTTACCTCTCAGCTTCCTGAAGTAGAAGCATTGCCCTATAGGCAACAGCAGACCCAGCACGAATATAATTCCACTCCATATCTTGTTATGTGTAGATGTAGATTGAGCCCCTGAGGAGGGAAGCCATGTGTGTGTTTTATCTCAAAGTCAACGCCCCTCATCGAGGGCCTGATATTCAGAGCACTAGGGAACTAGAACGGGCCACTCCTGAAAGGTATTTCAGAATCACACAAAACAGCATAAGTGGAAGACTGTAGCTGCAGCCCTGGGTGGGAAATTTAATGTCTGGTTTACTTTATAAATCTACACTATCCCTCATAATGAAACTCGTTACTTAATTTCTGCTAGCACACTGGCAGCAACTGGTGGCTAGGTAGTGTTGCATACTAATATGTTGGCCAACAATATGGATCCATGAGTGGTCTCTACAGCCAACAGGAAAGGAGCATAGCAGACCAAGAAGTCAACTGTGGTACCTGTGGGCATTTTCCAAGGGCACCAGACAGACACAGGTTCAGAATGGAACAAGACCAAGAGGAACCAAGTATGTTGTCACCCAAACCTAGAGTGGCCCTTTGTCTTTATCCTGCTACTGATTGTGTCTAATCTCAAGGCAGACAGAGTCATCTGCACTTTGTCCTGCAGTAGTAGCAGCCACCCAAACTCTTGGGTCCCCTGCTGAACTCATCTGCATATCAAACATTTTCGGGTGTGGAGACCACCTTCTCTTACACTTGTGGGATGAACTGGGGTGGCCACCTGGGGTACCTTTCCAATGTCATCTGTAGCTCTGGAGTCCATAGCCTCTTGTGACATAGGTACATCTTACTCAAGAATCCTGTGCACCACAAAGAACTAGTTGGTGACACTGATTATCCAATGACATTTTGTTTTTTGTTTTGTGTTTTCTTGGTCCCCCCCTCCCCAGGACAGGGCTTCTCTGTGTGTCCCTGGCTGCCCAGAACTAGCTCTGTAGACCAGGCTAGTCTGGAACTCACAGAGATGCATTTGCTTCTGCCTCCTGAGTGCTGGCAATAAAGGCGTGCACCACCACCACTAGTGTGGTGGCAGACACTGGCAGGATTTCCTGAAGAAGATGAGGCAGGAGGGTCTTGAGTTTGAGGCCAGCCTGGGCTCCACTTTACACTTACTGTCTTGAAGAGGTATATCTAATTTCAGTTCCATTCTGGGATTATGGCCTAAATCTTAGAGAGACACTTTGTCCCGATCCTTGCCAGAGAACCTACCTAGCTCACGCTGTGTGCTGTACTGGGGATTTCTGTCTTCATTGACACATCTGGCAGAGGGTGACCAGAACCTTTACCTAACCTATCTAAATATTTTATTTTTCAATGACTTTCTGCTTGGCTCCCTTCTTAATCAACCAGTATAGTGGGTGTAGAGATTAAACTAGGTGAGGTACAAAAGCCAGTAACTTGGACATTCTATGTATCCTTCTCTGTGGAGTAAGGCACGCCCACTCCCTGATGGGCAGAGATTCACAGGGTCAGGGAAAAGTGATAGGCGGGGTAAGCCACGCCCCTCGATGGTGGGCAGGGACTCACAGGGACAGGGGCTTCCCACTCACTCCACTCCACTGTGGCAGGGCTGGTCAGGCTGGGATGCTCCACCTGGCAGGTATAAACCTCTCCACTCTGAGGAACCATCTCCAACATCACCAGGGTCTGGTAAGTCCAGTCTCCATTCCCGATCAGGCCCGTGGACACGACCCCAGCCTTCTCCTCCTGGTCATTCCGGAACCATCTGACTACAATGTTCCCCGGGTAGAAGCCACTCACAGAGCAGACCAGGAGGTTGTGGTGCTCCAGGGGCCGAGTCTTTGTCGGGTACACACTCACCTGGGGCTCAGCTAGAGGAGAAAGGGAGGTGAGAATAAGTCCTGAGGGCAGAGCTGTCCTCTCAGCTCAGCTGCCTGTCTGCCTTTATCCACCCAGACTGAAGTCCAGACAGACCTCCTAAACCTTCTTGTAACATTAATCCTGGTCTCAGGGCCCATGGGATCTGAAGGACTCTAAGGTTTTATTTTATAGCTTGTAACAATAATTCTTGAACTGGAATTGTCCCAGTTTTTCAACTGAAGACAGTGTAGATGGACCATGGGCACAGCAGCTCAGGGCACATACCCCCTAAAATAGCTCAGGAATGGTTCTACCCTGGGAAACAGGTGAAGAGAGAGGTGACTCTCAGAGGCCTTGAGGAAAGGAAAATGTAAAAAGTCATTACATTTAGGGCCAGAGAGATGGCTCATCGGGCAAAAGGGATTTTGGCCAAGAAGGATGACCTGAGTTCAACTCCCAGGATACACATGGAGGGAGGGAAATGACTCTCAAAGGCTGTCTTGTGATCTCCACACCTGAAATGCAGAGTTCTCTTCTCTCTGTTTGTCTGTCTTTCTTGGATGTCTGTCTCTCTCTCCCTCACACACACACTATGTGACACTCGGCAGAAGAATCTTTTTCCTTTGCAAATCAAACATACCTGAAATAAGAATATTGTTGTCATTGTACAACTGTGTCTCTTTCTGAGCTGACACTTGTGGCCCAGCCAGGGTCTGGGGATCATGTTACCAGGGGTTGGTTTTAGGACAATCCTTCACATAGCTGCCTCTATGGAAACATTTATTCTGGGGAAATATTTCCTCTCAGTCCTGCAAATGTCACTTCTAGGACTGATTGACACACATGAACAATTTTTCAGAAATTCTTACGAATAAAATTTCTTCAAAGAAAGCAATGAAAAACAAAAATACAAACCCCAAACTGGAGGAACTGCCAATCAAATGTCAGTGAAGTGTCCAAAAATCAATTTCATGAACAGCCTACAGCTTCGAAGCTCTGAATAGGCCCAATCTTGCCTCAGAAGCTAAGCAAGGGTGCTGGGGAGGTGGCTCAGCAGTTAAAAGCACTTGCTGCTCTTGGGGTTCACGGTCACTTGTAACTCCAGCTCCAGGGGACCCAGGACCCTCTTCTGGTCTCTGAGAGCTCCGCATCCACATGTACACACATACATACATGCAATTAAAAATAAAATAACTTTTATTTTCAAGGAGCTAAGCAACATCTGGCCTGGTTAAAACGTGGACGGGAGATCCTGCAAACCACTGAGGGAGACACTGGAATTCAGAGCAGCGTACAATGGGTGAAGCCGAGTGTTTAAGCTGGGTCTCTGCTGCTGTGAAGAGACACCACAACCATGGCAACTCTTTAAACATTTCACTGGGTGACTGGCTTACAGTTCTGCGGTTCAGTCCATTATCATCGCGGTGGGATGTGCCAGTGTGCAGGCAGTGTGGGGCTGGAGGAGTAGCTGAGAGTCCTACATCTTGCAGGCAATAGGAAGTGGGGTGGCACCAAGGGAAGCTTGAACAAAAGCCCGCCCCACAGTGACACACTTCCTTCAACAATCCCACACCCCCTAACAGTCCTTTCAAACCACCACATTTAAAGCAAGAATGGACTTTCCTTACCAATTCGAACCATGTTGTAGAAACACAGGAAGACAAGGGCATTACAAATAAAAGACAGGCATGCCTCTTTATCATTGTAGTTATATTTTTACATAATTCATTAAACTGTCCTTACGCAATATCACACAGGTACACAATGCATTCAGTCCACCCCATCCTGCTATCCCCATCACTGATTCCCCCATGAATCTCTCTGTCTCTTGCACATTTGTGTCTGTTTGTTTTGTTCTGAAATATTTGGCAGCACAAAAAACAACACTCTAACAAACTGAATGTGTGCTAAACCACCTCAACTGTAGAAGGAATCTGCCATACTTCCTTATTAGCAGGACTATATAAAACAGCACATTAAGAATAAAATTATGCCTTAAAAACCAGCTTACAGATCATTAAAAATATTTATTTTCATTTATTTATGTGTGCGTTTGTGTATGTAGGTCACATGTGTGCCAGTACCTGTGGAGGCCAGAAGAGGGCGTTGCAGGTTTTGAGAGTGAGCTACCTAGTGTGGATGCTGGAAACCGATGTTGGCTCCTCTAGAAGAGCAGCAAATGCTCTTAACCACTGAGCCATCTGTTCAGACTGTCTAGCCATTTCAATGGTGTAAAAATACATAGGCCAAGAAAAAAAAAACAACAAAAATTTTTTTAAAAGATTTTGTTTTTATTTTTAATTATGTGTGTGCATGAGTGCATGTGTATGTGTTCCAGTGTGCACACATGTGTGTATGTGTGTGTGCAATACTCATGGGGAGCTGGTAGAGGGATTCACATCCCCTGGGGTGGAGTTATAGGCCTCTGTGAGCTGCCCACTGTGAGTACTGAGAACTGTAAGAACACTAAATGCTCTGAACCATTGAGCTCTTTGCTGCCCCTGGAGGGCCTTTTGACCAAAAAGAAGCCTCAAGAAGAAGATCACAGGTGCATCAGAGTTCCACACATACCTTCCCTTACGCTCCTCCAGCCCAATGTTTACCTTTTAAGTTCAACAGGAACCAATCAACCAGTCTGTAGTTATTCCTGCACCTGTCCACTGAGGCCCGATAATTGTCCAGGACATCCTTCTGGCTATTCAAGTCCTCAGCTATGGGCTGCCCCAGCTCAGTCACTGCCAGGAACTTCCCAATGTCACTGTCAAAGCGTGCAAACTCTTCCTGGTTATAGATGAATCTGGTCACACTCCTCACTTGCTCTGTCCCATTGAGGTAATGACACTCAGCCTTCAGCTGCTCCAGAAAATGTGCTGTGGGGACAGGAACACACTCTATTGCAGGCTCTCTGGGAGGAGATTCAAGCAATGTTCCAAACTGGGATGTTAGCAAAGGGAATGACACATGCAAGGAACTCACCTCCTACACCCTCTAATTCCCAACTACCTGCACCATGAGATCAACTGAGGCAGAGGGAAACTAGAGTTTTGTTGCTGTTGCTGTGATAAAATATTCTGGCAAAGACAATGTAGGAGAGAAAGGGATTGTTTGCATGATAATTTCAGAGTACAGTCTACAGCTGCCTGCAAGTCAAGGCGAGAACTTACAACATCCTATTCACAGCCAGGAGCAGAGAAAGAATAATCACATGGATCCTCACATCTCTCATCTAGCTTCCTCTTCTCCGATATTCTTCAGGCACCCCTGCCTATGGAATGGTGCCATCCACACTGGGCTGAGTCTACCTACATCAGCTAACAATCAAGTGTAGGGCAAAAGGGTCAGTCAAAGAAATTCTCCATGTAGCCTTTGGGAGGACCCACTTCTAATCTGGATCTTTAAGTAGGAAGACACACCTTAAACCAGATCTTTTGAGCTGGGAAAATGCCTTGACCTGCGAGACTTCAACCTAGAACCCAAAAACCCAAGAAGGGGATGGGGGTGTGTGTCAAGAGACATGGGGGAATTGACCACAAGACAGGATTCTGATCAAGTGGCAAACTTTATTTTTCTACCCAGAGGTTATATATTCAGCAGAGCAAGGATGTAGGAAAGGGGCAGGGGAGGTAAGAAGAATAGTTGAGGACTAGCTGTTCTTACAAGCAGAATATAGAAAATCACAAAGAATGAATGTTGACATGGGTGGAAAGATCAGGAGTTTTGAGAACAAGAAAGGTTACTATGGTGATGGGGCTAGTGGTTATATGCTAGGCTGATCTGGCTAATTAGAGCTAGTTACTAAATCATCAAACCTTTGTGGAATAACTGAAGGTTCTAAATGTATAGCCAAGAGAAAGCCAGAGTTCAGCCAAGCTTTGTTCCATATCTGAGCATAGATCCAGCTTCAATTTCCAACAGGAAAAGACAAGATTTAGCTTCCTGGACTGAGCAACTTCTGGATTCTTGAACTTTCTGTTTACAGCTAGCCATTAATGGATTAGCTGAACCACAATCTGTAAGTCCCTCTTATATAGGGGAGAAGGAGAAGGAGGAAGAGGAGAAGGGGTAAGGGGAGGAGGAGGAGAAATCCACTTTGGCTTTGACACCAAAGCCAACTCTGCCCCTGACCAACTGAGAGAGGAAATCAACCAATCCCTGAGCAGGAAGTCAATCACTGAGCAAGAAGCCAACCAATCCCTGAACAGGAAGCCAATCACCTAGCAAGAAGCCAACCAATCCCTGAGGACCCTGATTCTGAACCAAGAACCAATAAGGAAACACATCCAGGATCTGAAACCTGAGCCAGTGAAAGAAACATTTCATCCCTGAATCAAGAACCAAAGAAGGACACCCTGACTCAGAAGTCACTGCTAACGAAACACACTTTGTCCCTAGAATCAGAGCCAGTGAAAGAAATACCCCTGGCCCCAAAACTAGAGCCAGAAAGCTAAACAATGCCAGTGAAATAAATACAGTTTGACCTGAAATCAGAGCCATCTTTGCCCCCAACCCACTAAACTAACCAACTCCTGAGCAGAAAAACTTCTCCCTACAAAGCCCTATATAAGCCCCTTTGCCTATTCAGTTCTGTCTGTCTTTTTCCACCATGGCAGAAGCAGCCACTCTGCTGGACTCCTCCTTTGCAAAGAAATCTTTGCCAGAGCAGAATAAAAGAAACTTGCTGGGATGTTCCCTTAGGGGACTCAGTAAAGCTGTAGCAGAAAAAGTAACAACTTTTCTTTGGAGCCAGAGGAATTGCTACATTTCTGCAGGGGCTTCCGCATAAGTCGACTGGAGCCAAAGAAGGTCAGAGAAGAAGTGCTTAGCTCTCGGATGGTCCCTTAAGGGAACAGAGCAGAGCTCAGCTATAACAGTCCTCTCTAGGAGAGGAGCAGGACTGAGGATACCATCCCCATCAGGGCTGAGCTGTCCAACAGAGCTTTGTAGCTCCAGAACTGCAATACACTTGCTTACATTTTGGTACTGAAACCCCAGCACTACCACTCACTTACAGGCAGTCCCTCACAGGCATGCCCATGGGCCATCCTGATATAGATAATTCCTCATTAAGATGCTCTTCCCAGGTGATTTAATTTGAGTCGTGTCAAGTTAAAACTAACCAGCACAAAAACCATGCAGGACAGCCCCCCCCCCCTTTCTGATCCTGCCCCATCTACCCACCTGCTGCCCTTTCTCGTGCCCACAGGTGATGGGAGATGTCATTCTGTAAATATGTCTCTCGTATTAGTAAATGAATAAAGCACTGTTGACCAGTAGGAAAGAAGATAGGCGGGACTAGGAGACAAGGAGGATTTGGGAAGTAGTAGGAAGGAGATTCAACATGTAGGACCCAGGAGAACAGAGGTCTTGACCCTGTCTTCGGTAAGATAAGACCACATGGAAATACTTAGATTGATAAAAATGGGTTAATATTTAAGACAGAGCTAGCCAATAAGAAATGCTAGTAACAGGCCAGCTTTATATCTAATACAGCGTCTCTGTGTGTTATTTGGGGCTGGCACAGCTGTGGGACCAGACTGCCAGGAAACAAACTCGTAACACACAGGTCTCACCCTCATCTGAAATAGCACCTACCTAGAATTGTTTATAAAACACCCCTAGTACTGGCCTTAGGAACCCTAAGAGGAAAAATTCTATCTCTTCTTTCTACTCTTGGAGCTTAAAATTCTGGAAGTAAGGGATGAAATTATCCAACAGTTGGAACATTCAAACAGAGGTGCTTCTGTTGACAGGGTAACAAGGCAGATGCTAATGAAACACAGCACAGAAAGACACTAAGGAGTGACTTTTCAGATATGTAAGTGCTGTGGCACGCAAAAAAAAAAAAAAAAAAAAAAAAAAAGGAAAAAAGAAAGAAAAAGAAAAAAGAAAGAAGGAAAGAAGGAAGAAAGAAACAAAAAGAGGAGGAGGAAAGAAGGAAGGGAAATGCAATAAAAATAACTTTGAATACAAATAAATTTACAAATCAACTGATATAAATGGCTGAAAATATAAAAAAAAGACTCAAGTATATCCTGGTTACAAGGAACTCATCACATTTATGAACTATATAGAGGCTAGGAATGAAAGCTGGGGAAAGATACATATTACACAAATGGAAACTAAAAGTGAGACAAAGTAACAAATCTCATGTGCAGGAGACAAAGAAGGTGTTAGTACATTGATACAATGATAAATTTAACAAAAATGACTAATAGCTATAAATATATATGCACACACCTGATATGGGAACACCACAATATATAAATCAAGCATTAATAGACCTAAAGAGAGAAATAGACTCTAATACAGTGATAAATAGGGCTGCCAATACCCCATTCTACTCAAAGAACAGAGAATCATCAAGGAAACTGCTGACTTTAACTCCAAGGCACATCCAACAGACCTAACACAGTTACAGAGCATCCCATCCAACCACAGTAGAGCACACATCTGTCCTAGCAGCCTGTGCACATGCTAAGCCTTGAATTAAGGCTCGGTAAAATTTGCATAAAAACCAGCTCATGCATCATCCATCATCCTAGACCAGAATAAAGTGAAACTACAATTAAAAAACAATTAGGAAATTGGAAACAATAAACCAGGTGTGGATTATACAACATGCCCCTAAATGGCTAATTGAAGAAAGTAAGAAGGAAAATAAAGAACTTTCCAGAAAGAAGCCTGTAGGCCCTCAAGGCACCTTGAGCTAGCCTGAAGCTGTTGGCAGGAACTCCTTGCCCCAAGGCTTTTGTTGGTACTCTTCCCGTGACACACACCTCGTGACAACAGATCTTGTGACACACACCCTGTGACAACCATACCTCGTGACAACACAGGGAGGAGCTAAGCCAAAAAATTCCTGTAATTTTCTACTGTGCTATAAGTTGGTATTTAAGCCCGTTCTTGCCCCTCAATAAATGGCATTCGGCATTTGGTGTTCCGACTTTGCCATTGAACGAATGACCCGCTGTCTTGTCTTTATTTCAATCTCTAGGCCTTCGCCCGATTCGTGGAACAGATTGTAGCGCGGGCGCTACAAGTGGAGGTCCCGCCGAGATCGGGAAAGAAAGGATCACCTAAGAGATCACCCTCGAAGGCCGGCCGGCAAAAGTAAGTGAATGAGGGTGTATTGAAGGATTGGTGCCAGTAACTGTAAGGAAAAGCTCAGTGGGCAATTAGTGGCCCTATTGAAAAGGCAGGGCACCAGGATTAAAACAAGACAACTAAAGAATTCATTGCCATAAAGTAAAACAAGAAATGGCATAGATGAATAGGACTTTTGAGGAAGTACAAAATTTAGAAGAAGGTAGAAGTGTTAGAAAAGGAAAGACAGGTGTTTCCAGTGATTGAGACAGTGGATCCTCAGATAACAGGGTTAGGGAGCACAGTCCATTAAAGGATATAAAGGATATAAAACAGCTTAAAGAGGCTGTCACTGCTTATGGGCCGATGCTCCTTTTACTCAGACAATTTTTGAGTCTTTTGCAGCGTTAAATTGCACCCCTAGTGATTGGATGCAGCTCTGTAGAGCCGTGCTGAGTGGGGGTGACTATTTGCTCTGGAGAGGCGAATTTCAAGAATTTTGCAAGGAAACTGCGCAAAGTAATGCTGTTGCCGGATTTCCTGCTAGGAATTCAGATATGCTCATGAGCGCAACAAGTGGAGGGCAATATGCTACCCTTGCAACTCAAATTCTTTTTGACCCAGAGGTCTATGCACAAATTGCTGCTGTTGCTACTAGAGCTTGGAAAGTCCTGCCTAATGAGGCTGCAGGAGATCAAATATCTAAGGTATTGCAGGGACCCTCTGAGCCCTATTCAGAATTTGCAGACCACCTCCTACAGCTGGCAGGCCGCATTTTTGGTGATGT